TTAGAAGCACTGTTCGGAGTACAGACTCTTTACCACATGTGTTTTGAAACACACACTGTAATAGAGTTTTACACATTTGTCAAATAACAGCTCATATGAATTGTTATAATTATTTACATGAGATTTATCTCCTGGAACACAGAACCATTTCTCTTACCTCTTTTGGACAGTATATGCAAACTTGCATATGGGATGTGTGTGAATTAATGCCATCTACACATAACTTGTTCCATTATGTTGGTAATTATATATTTTTTAATATTTAATCTAAGCTAAATGAAATAATTAGGCTAAATGTCAATTTTACTCTGCTATGTTTTTAACTAACCAAGAGCAGGGACTCTCTTAACCTATCTTTATATCCCCCCTCCAGTGCTTAATATCTATATCTATTAACTGAATAATCAGTATTATGAATGAATACATGATTTAGATGTTCAAAATATGTTTACAAATTAATTATATATTTATTGATCAGTTACTAGGTATCAGACACTCTTTTGAATATTTGTCATATTAAGAAAAAAAAGAAAAAATATAAAACTGATTTGCTCAATAAGCTTATAATCTATAATAAAGAACAGAAAAGTACATGTCTGTTATATGTTGAGAAATATTTTGGGAATGCAAAAGAGGGGGAGAGAGAGAAAGATCATATCCTGATGGAGTGATGATGAAAGAGTTGGTGGAAGATGCTGCAGTTGACATGAAACAATAAGATTTCAATTGTCACTTCCTTTTTCAATCTAAGCTGAATTATAAGCAAGCAGTTAATGCTCTGTGTAAAGACCACAGTCAGAGCAGGTCCATCATGAAGTGCATTTGTAACATCATTCAGGTCCTCTGTGCAGGGTTTCTGTATCCCTGCTTTATCAATACTACCACAGAGTAGCATTTAATAAATATCTATTGTGGAAAAAATGATTCAAAATGGGGACTGATTTCAACTTAAGCGCTCTCAATTTGTATGTACCTGTATTTTGGTATCTATATTTTGTTGCATCTTGGTCTCATAGAAATGGTTATTGAGATATAAATGAACTAGTCTTGAAACAAAAGTCAACAAATAATTTTAGTATTTCTATATACTTTTGTTTCAGCATACTTCAATCTAAAACTGGAAAAGGACTACTCATTAACTAACTAATGCCATTTTAGTCTCTGTCTTATTTACTTCTCTGCATTTACTGGTGATTATTTTCTCTATGTCTTTCTCTGTCATTGGCTTGAAAATTCTTCCTGTGTTCTTTTTTTTTTCTGTCTTTAAAATCTTCCTTATGATTTCTTCAACTAGGTCATGACAACATTATAAAAATACTTATATTCTCACTTCACATCTTTTTCTGGCCAGTCTTATCCTCATGCATGCTTGTATCTGCTTTTTATAAATCACTGACTCACAAATCTTGCATGTACTCAATGCAAATGCATGTTTCCAAATGCCAGCCAAATGCTCCATCATTGCTTTTTCTAAACTATATATTCATCATGTGAAATGTAAAGCAAAATACTAACATTCCTAACACAAATGTGCCAAAGTGTGCCACCTCTGTGCAAACTCTCTAAATATAACTCACCACTGTTGTCTTTCAGCCCTGTCTCCATATAGAGTGATACCCTTGTCCCAAGCCAGCAACTTGTATCACACATTTAATAACATCCTACACTCCTCATATCCAGTGGTAGCCAATTCCCACTGATTATGAGTCATAAGCATTTCTTAAGCGTCTCTTCTCCTTGCAGTCCTCAGCACCAGTGCAGAAGTCTAGGCACATGTCACATTGCTCCCAAATCTTTTTGTTGGCTCTTATCCTTGGCCTGCATCTTACCCTGCCTCCATTCCATCCTCTAAACCACCCCCAATGGAGTCCTGAAAAATACTGATTCCAGATTCTTCTGTCCAAAATGCATTAGAAGTTCCTCAAAAGTCTGATTTCTTTCCAGTATCATCTCCTGACTCCTCTGTTCTATAATTCAGCCTAATCAGGAATGTGTTTCTTCCCAATGTCTCCTGCTTCATTCTATTTCCTCTGTCTGGAATATCATTTTATTTCATCTGCCCAAGGAGTCCAATTCACCCTAAGAGGCTCAAGTCTGTCATTTCTTCTTTGAAGGCTTCTGAAACACCATTCGAAAAAAAAAAAAAAAATCAAATGAAGTCGCTCAGTCGTGTCCAACTCTTTGTGACCCCATGGACTATAGCCTACCAGGCTCCTCCATCCATGGGATTCTCCAGGCAAGAATACTGGAGTTGGTTGCCATTTCCTTATCCAGGGACTCTTCCCAACCCAGGGATCGAACCCAGGTCTCCCACATTGCAGGCAGACGCTTTACCATCTGAGCCACCAAGGAACCATTATTTCTTCTCTATAGCCTCAAGTAAGTGTCACTTATGTGTATCACATTGCATAGGTGATATTTAGAAATTATCATTTTAATTAAAATTGAGATCATACAAAATATGTTCTATAATGCTATTGGAATTAGAGATGAATAACAAAGATATCTAAGGAATACTCAAATATTTGGAAACTAAACAATGGTATTATGAATAAAACTTGAATCAAAGATGAAGTCTGCAGTAAAATAAGAAACTATTTTGAACTGAATAAAAATGAAAACATATTTTTATTTAATTTGAAATTAGTGGATGTAACTAAAACACCACTTGGGAGGAAATTTATGTAAGGAGATGTTTAAATAAGAAAAGAATTCTCAAATCAGTGATATAAGATTTCATCTTAAGAAACCAAGAGTGATGAGTCAAATCAATAATTTCAACTCAAATCAAATGCAACAACAGCAACAAAATAACATAGAGCAAAACTGAGAGAGAAATTGAGAGAAAAGAGAGAGAGAGGGAAATACAGAGGGACAGAGACAAAAAGGGAGAAAAGGACATGAATTTCTAGTACCTGAATAAGAAAATGACACCATCATAACTCCTTCAAGTTGATTAAAGGACAATTTGGGAATATTAAGAACAACTTAGAGATACAGAAACTATAATAAAGAATAAAATGCAAACAAAAACAAAAATTCAACATAAATCCAACAAATATCTTTAAAATTCAATCACTTAAAAGAAAAAAATGATAGGAATTACACAACTTGCTTTCAAAACATCTCATGAAACTGCAATAAATTAGACTGTGGAGCATTGGCAAAAGTATAGAGATATAGACATCACTGGGACAGATTGGGAAAACTGGGAGGACAGCCACTAGTATACAGCCCAGTGATCTTTTGAGAAAGCGGAAACTGAAAATATCTTCAATAAATGTGATGGAACAGTTAGATGTCCACATGGCAATAGAACATACCTGAGTGTTAACTTGCATCACTTATGAAAATTGACTCAAAATGCATCATACACCTAAACAGAAAACCTAAGCCACATAATTTTGAAGAGAGACTTTACCAAATGATATATTTCTTTGGTACATAAGCACATGAAAATATGGTCAACATTATTATTATTTAAGTGTAAATTAAAATCCTAGTGTGATACCATTAAACATGTTTTGAAATGCCAAAAAAAAAAAAAAAACCCAGAAATCAAGTCCTGCCCTGAATGTGGAGCAACCAGAACTTTCATACATTTATGGTTACTTCAAATTTGAAATACAGTATAAAAGATTCTTGTAAAGTTAAACATACACTTTACTATATGACCCAATAATTGAGGAGAAATAATAAATTATATATAAATAAATAATAGATAAATAAATAAAACTGAGGAGAAATAATATATTTGTACAAATATTACGTGTGAGTATTTACAGCAGTTTTATAATCTCTACAAATCTGGAAACAATGCCAGTGACTTTCAGTGGTGAATGAATAACCAATTCAAGGAATAACCATACAGAAGAGTACTACTCCTCAAAAAAGAGGACAATTTTTTGTGAATCACAAATGGATAATTTTAAATAAAGGAAAAGTCGCTCAAAAGCCTACATGTTCTATAATTTCATTTATATGAAATTTTGGAAAAGGCAAAATGATGGAATAAGAAACTGTCTAGTAAGTTTTACTATGAAAAATTGAAGAGGTTGTGCTATGTGACCATTTAAGATAGATGAGAGATGAAACTCTTTCTTATAAAGTGGGGGAAGGGTGATTCTGAAAATGAAAAGGTGTGATAACAGGTGTATTCCTAACCACTCTGGAGGAGTGTACATAGACACATTGAAGATCTAGAAGCTGATGACTTTCAGATTACTGGATCCCACGCATCCCTTGGAAAATACGCACATACTCTCAAGACATGAGCCGACTATTTTGAATACCACTACTTCACCATATGACATATTTCACCATATGACATATTTCACCAGATGACACCAGGACTTCCTGGTGGCTCATATGGTAAAGCGTCTGCCTACAATGCGGGAGACCCAGGTTCAATCCCTGGGTGGGGAAGATCCCCTGCAGAAGGAAGTGGCAACCCACTCCAGTATTCTTGCCTGGAAAATCCCATGGACAGAGGAGCGTGGTAGGCAAAGAGTTGGACACAACTGAGTGACTTCATTTTACTTCACCATCAGGCCAACACCTTGAGTATGCACTAAATAAATGCATATTAAATAATTTAATGTGCCTACGCAAAGGCAAGCACAATGCTAGGTCAGTGGTTACACTTTGATCTTTCTCAAGAGGTCTTGTTTTCTTTACCAAGAAAAGTGGTACTTTATTTATCTTTTATCATTTAAGTCTTGTACAAAGCCATAGTGAGCCTCATAAATAAAGGTACTCTGAATGAGTGAATCTATCATTCTAATGAATTATTGTTGAATGAAGCTTGAAATTGTGGTTAGCGATTATAGAAATATATACTTACTGAGACTTACACTTCACAGAACCTTAAATTACATGAAGAACTAATCAAATCACCAGATAAAAAACAAAAGAATTCATCAAACTACATAGCTGTGATTCTTTTTGACATTGTACTTTCTTTTGTGTGACTGTAAGCATTTCATATAACAATGTATTACCTGATTCGTTGATGCATTTTTTCCCAAGCAATTTGTTAATAGTGCAGTAAAGGTCATCAGAGCAGAGACAATCTTTAAATTGTAAATTGCTTTCCGCTAAGGACTGGATACTTAGGTCACAGCTGGATGAATCCTTCATCTGGCAGGTGTTGCCTGGATTTCATAGTCAAACACAACATTCTAGATATTAATCTGAATAAAAGTTTCAGTCCTCCTACCCAAACTATGCTAAAACTTTGGGTAGCACCTCCTACCCAAAGCTTTTAATACCTTGATTTTAGTAATTCATTATTAGAGTGAAATTATTTGGGGTTACTACAGCATGTTCATATAATTGACTTTTCAAGCAAAAAAAACCAAAAAAACAAAAACCAAAGCACTCTATTTCTACTGTTTTCACCCCCAGTATTTTCTTCCTAAAATAGACTAAAACTTTCTGTATTTTAAAAGAACTTTGTCCCCACTTAGAATGTCAATTTGTGCTCTTTAATAGTAATCAAAGCTGCCTTTAAAATGAGGCAACCAGAACACTCTGTAATTTTAGCTATTTTGTCTGTTTAGCAATTTTATTAGCTATTTGATCTTAACCTTCTATTTTATTTTATATGCCATTCCAAGATTATAGTAAGAGACATCCAAGTGACTCTAAATTTATCATATAAAGCGACGTGGTCCTGACACTTAGAAAGCATGCAGTAAATATTATTGCGTCTTTTGTAATTACCAACATTTCATAGTCTGCTTTAATATAGAAAGCCTTATTCATCCATCCAACTATTTTCTTTTATTCATTTTTCCTGAATAAAACTACAAATAAAACTATTTGTCTGTTTGAGAATATTTCAGCTTCATGCATAGTATAATTATGCAAGTCTTACCATTCACTAAAAATTACTTGCTATTTGTATACTAAATTCAATAAATGTGTTATAATTTATGATACACTGAATGCAACAGTTTAAGTTACCATATAAAATATACCAAGGAGCTTCATTATCAAAACAAAGAATGGATTTTTTTGTCATTGTCCTTTATTCTCATCTTAAAATTATTGTGCTATTTGAGAAAATTTGCCTTTGAAATTCTTTTCCTGAACTGTAATGAGAATGTTGCTTTTGAAAACTGTGGTGTTGGAGAAGACTCTTGAGAGTCCCTTGAACAGCAAGGAGATCCAACCAGTTCATCCTAAAGGCAATCAGTCCTGAGTGTTCACTGGAAGGACTGATGCTGAAGCTGAAACTCCAGTACTTTGCCCTCCTGATGCGAAGAATTGACTCATTTGAAAAGACGCCGATGCTGGGAGGGAATGGGGGCAGGAGGAGAAGGGGACGACAGAGGATGAGATGGCTGGATGGCATCACTGACTCGATGGACATGAGTTTGACCAAGCTCTGGGAATTGGCGATGGACTGGGAGGCCTGGCATGCTGTAGTCCATGGGGTCGCAAAGAGTCAGACACGACTGAGCAAGTGAACTGACTGAATGAGAATGTTGAATAGAGACCTACAACTTTCCTTGGCATTTGAACATCGCATGCACCCTGTTCAAGGGCAGGGTAGAGAAGAAATCTCACTCCTTATCTATATCCTGTGTAATTCCTTGAGATCTTGTGGCTAGACAGGAGCTCTGATAGTGGAGATTGTAAATTTTTCCATTGTCAGAACTATAGGTTTTTGTATATTAATCTAACACACTTCACCTTACATCTTTGGAAAGTAGGAGCACGGGCAGATAGACAAGGGCCCCAAACAGTACAGAATTTATTCTTCTATGAAGCAGCTGGAGAAATAAAGTGAGCCATGAAAAAATATAGTTTTTATTTTTCACTTTGGATTTGTCTTACTGAATATGCCAAAAATTAATTGGATTTTTATGGTATTATCACACTCATTATTCAAGTTGATAAAATTTGTCATGTTATAAAAAGCTTTTTTTGAAATGTTCTGTCCTAATAGCATTAGGATATTATTCCCTACATAATCTTTTATCTACTTTTAGTGAATCGAGTCTTACAATAATGCTCTCATTGAACATATATTCAGCTACTTGATATAGCTAGAATTTTTTTTTCTTTTAAACAAATGACAATGACTTTTTAATCTTCATATTCTCTAACCCCTTGGGCCTCTCTTCACATGTTTGTAATATAGAACAAACTAAAAATAAAAATATATTTTAACTTGCTCTTGACGTAGTTGAAATAGAAGAGAGTATATATGTTGAAAGAATATAAAAGTCATGTTCAGTTCAGTTCAGTCGCTCAGTCGTGTCCGACTCTCTGCGACCCCATGAATCGCACACACCAGGCCTCCCTGTCCATCACCAGCTCCTGGAGTTTACTCAAACTCATGCCCATTGAGCCGGTGATGCCATCCAGCCATCTCATCCTCTGTCGCCCCCTTCTCCGCCCACCCCCAATCCCTCCCAACATCAGGGTCTTTTCCAATGAGTCAACTCTTCGCATGAGGTGGCCAAAGTACTGTAGTTTCAGCTTCAGCATCAGTCCTTCCATTGAACACCCAGGACTGATCTCCTTTAGGATGGACTGGCTGGATCTCCTTGCAGTCCAAGGGACTCTCAAGAGTCTTTTCCAACACCACAGTTCAAAACCATCAATTTTTTGGCTCTCAGCTTTCTTCACAGTCCAACTCTCACATCCATACATGGCCACTGGAGAAACCATAGCCTTGACCAGACAGACCTTTGTTGACAAAGTAATGTCTCTGCTTTTTAATATGCTATCTAGGTTGGTCATAACTTTCCTTCCAAGGAGTAAGCGTTTTTAATTTCATGGCTGCAGTCACCATCTGCAGTGATTTTGGAGTCCAATAAAATAAAGTCTGACACTGTTTCCAGTGTCTCCTCATCTATTTCCCATGAGGTGATGGGACCAGATGCCATGATCTTACTTTTCTGAATGTTAAGCTTTAAGCCAACTTTTTCACTCTCCTCTTTCACTTTCATCAAGAAGCTTTTTAGTTCCTTGTCACTTTCTGCCATAAGGGTGGTGTCATCTGCATATCTGAGGTTATTAATATTTCTCCCAGCACTCCTGATTCCAGCTTGTGCTTCTTCCAGCCCAGCGTTATCATGTTACATCCATGCAAATAATGTGCTTGATTTTCACAAATATCATCTTTCTATGTTATCACTGACATAGTAACATATGAACAAAAAATATTTTATGTAAAAAATGTTACCATGTTTTTGAGAGGCATGGGTATAACTGTAACACTATATATTGTAAAATAAGTAAAAGAATAATCTGAAACCTTGCATAAAGTTGCCTGCAGTGTCAGCGCATTAAGGTTCTTGAGTAGTGATGGTCCAGTGGTTAAGAATTTGCCTGCCAATGCTGGGGACACAGGTTCAGTCCCCGGTCTGAGACGATTCCACATGCCATGAGCAACTAAGTCTGTGTGAAAAACCACTGAAGCCCATTTGCCTAAATCCCATGCTCTACAACAGGAAAATACCTGTGCGCAGCAATAAAGACCCAGCACAGCCAAAAATAAATAATTTTTTAAAAGAATACTCTTAGGTATATAAATTCACTAATAAGTAACTGAAGGTGAATCACTTGAATACCAAGTTTAAATAAGGCATGTAGAGAAAAATTTATTTTCTAGGATAGTGAAAAAATAACTCCTATTTTTTATCTCAGTAAATAGAAGGTATTTGAGTGCATTTTAAACAACTTGTTTTACCTGACACATTGCAGGCATCTTCCATTATTCTCCAGGCATGTTTACAACCATCGGCATCACGTAGGCAGAGCTCTTTTAAAGACATGCAATCTGTGGTTTGGGAAGTGGACTTGTTCAGGCATAGCCCCACAGCTTGAATAACAACAATAAGAGAACAACAGAAACAGCAATATGACAACATGGTAGTTACTTACTTCAAACCTAAGTTATTAATAATCAAGACCAGAATTATGAAAATGGAAATGTGATTAAGTCATTAAAAAAACTAGGATGGATCTTAACCTGCCCTCCAGCTATAGATTTGTTTCTTTTTTATAAGGTTCTTAAACAAAACATATGTATTTGCCCTCTTTTTTATTTCTGCCTATTTATTTCTCAGTTTATAATTTATTGTTATGACTATTGCTCCATTGAAACTGTTCTGAAAAATGCCCCCAAATAATCTCCATAACATGAATTTAATAGTTTAAAGGCTTCATCTTGCCTGCATTTATCATTGGGAATTTTGTTGTCACTTTGTTCTTGAAACTTTTTTCTTTTGGCAACCCTCTCTTCTAATTCTCTTGCCACTTCTTCATTTGATATTTTCTGCTCATGGCGTTCTTCCCAGGACCCTCTTACTTTTCTGTTAAAGTGTGTCTGTAGCTTAGGTTCTGTCCTCAGACTCTTCTCATTCTCATTTTATATGCTCTTCATGGACACCTCCATGCACTTATGGTCTTAACTAAAATCTCAAGATTGATGATTCTCAGATATCTAATGCAATCTTGCTATTTTCCAATATTTTAGTCACAGATGCTGTTTTCTCCACCTAAATGTTCCAGACACACTTCCGTATAATACTATCATCGGTATCGTCCTCCTCATCTGCTGGACCACCTGTTTCATCAGCAATTCCACCATCCACAATGGCACCCATACTAGGAAGCTTGAGTTCATGATAGGTTCCTTTTCTAGCCTCAATTTCGCTCTCCCACATCCACTCTTACATAGATCAGTGATTCTTGTCTTGTGAACTGACCAACTCATCAGATAGTCAGTCTGCCTTCATCTTATTCAGGTAAATTCTTTACACCCTTTACTCTGCCTTATGCACCATCCAGTCTGGTCATTTCTCTGCTTCCTCCTCTGAATGGGTCCTCATAGCATGACTCTCATATTCTTCATCATGTGCAATCTAGATATCCTCGAGCATTTATAGTTTCTCAAATGCTAAATGCTGCCTTGTTCGTCTGAGCATTTACTGTGTGGTCACTACCAGATGCTGCTTTTCTTTTAATTCTGGACTAAGCCTATTTGGTCCTTTAGGACTCAACACAATAACTACCAATTTTATGGAAATTGTTCCTAAATTCAATACCCCTTTCCTGCATTCAGATTGAATTTAACATCCCTTTCCTGTTTCACTACAATCTTGGGACCTTCCCAACTATAGAATTTACTGCTCTGTAAGGAAAGTGTATATTTACATATTTGCCTTTATCACTGGGTTCTGGGATTTTACTCAGCAAGCATTAGGAATAATTCACAATGGTATGCCCATCATCAATGCAATGATGAATTACATACATTCAATAAATGCATGCTGATTTAACCAACTTAAATAGCTGCTTATGGATGAGTTATACACAAATAACTGATAGTATTTAATAAAAATGACACCTTCCAGATATTTACAAGTTATTTGGGGTAGAAGAGAAAAGGTTTCAGCAAATTTTTAAAAGTATTAAGAAAGTAGCAACATTAATTTAATGTATTGTAACAATTATTTAAACTGATTCTGCAAGCATACAAACTGACACTTGCTTACTCAATCCATAGAAAAATATGGAAATTACAATTGAGTTTTAAAGACAGTATATTAGCTGTAATCAAGAGACCTAAAAGCTGTGTCTTCATCAGAGTCAAATTATCTGAATTTTTTTTGGACTCTGTGGGAGAAGGCGAGGGTGGGATGTTTCGAGAGAACAGCATCGAAACATGTATATTATCTAGGGTGAAACAGATCACCAGCCCAGGTTGGATGCATGAGACAAGTGCTCGGGCCTGGTGCACTGGGAAGACCCAGAGGGATCAGGTGGAGAGGGAGGTGGGAGGGGGGATTGGGATGGGGAATACATGTAAATCCATGGTTGATTCATGTCAATGTATGACAAAAACCACTACAATATTGTAAAGTAATTAGCCTCCAACTAATAAAAATAAATGAAAAAAATAATAACAAATTTAAAAAATAAATTATGCAAAAAAAATTATCTGAATTTTTTAAAAGATGATGGTAATTATGAATGACCTGTCACAGCATAGAGTTATAGGCTTCAAGTAAAGCCATAACATCTTTTTTTTTTTTAATCTTACCTTTTTCTAAACCTCTTCTAAGGCGAATCCATGGCAACTGTTTGGATCACATGTACTACTGAGTGAGTCACTGCATTTGGAGATTAGGCTCATGAGTGTGGATTGGTCACATTTTTCTTGTTGAGGGCTGGAGTGGAAATTGACATATCAGCTTTCTGTTTTTGTATGTTCATGGATAACCTCACCTAGCCAAGTTTCTATTCTAGGTTAGAAAGCCTGAAGATGGGGAACACATGCACACCCATGGCTGATTCATGTCAATGTATGGCAAAAACCAATACAATATTGTAAAGTAATTAGCTTCCAATTAAAATAAATTAGTTAAAAAAATTTAAAAAAAAGAAAGCCTGAAGAAAGAGAAATAGTGCCTCTTCCATTCTGTACCAATGTTACTTGTTTCTTTCCAGCTTGCCAAAGATACTAAAGTAAGGATTTTATGTCAGAAACTCAATATATAAGAAGCTACACCTTTATTTGCCACTGATCATTATATCTTGGGACTACTTCTCTCAAGAAACTTACAGGTGATGGTCTCCTGAGTAGATTATCAAAATCTCACTGATATGTCAGTGCAATGATCATTAATGAATTCTACATATTATATTTCCCAAATGTGTTTTATTTTCTTCCATATTTAAAATTCTAAGTTGAATAACAATTTGATTGTTTTACATGATTTTTCACATCTTCCACTCAGAGGAAATACTGGATCAAGCAGGAAAACCACTTCAAGGATTTGGCCCAGAAGAATCAAAGTAATAAATTTTCCAAAGCCTTATCCATTGTGGACTAGGATTTGTGGCTCTATATTTAAGACAGGAGTTTTCAAGGATCCTTTTGAAATGCCAAGTGAAAAACAGGTTCTATTTAAAAATAAATAAGATGGAGAATAGTGCACATTTTTTAGACTCATTAGGATATTTAATGCTTTGTTTTAAAAATTCACTGTCTCACATTTCTTTGGCTGCAGAACTTTCTGGCATCACAAGATTTATTTAAAATCTTGAGGCTGAATAAATATTCCAAAGAATGCATTATGGGAAATATTGGTTAATCCTATTAAATAGCATAATTTTGGCCCTAAGTGTTAGATAAGATTTCTTGCAATCTACTGACAAGGTTAATTTAGAAATGAAAGTTGAAAACAGGAAGCTATCACTGTGTTTTCAAAGGCAGGAACATGGGGGTGCATAATGAGATTGTAATATATCTTGTGTATCTCATCATATTGCTGCCTGATCTTCAAAGATTAAAGTATTCTAGATTTTTCCTTATTATAAATAATAGAAATAAGAAACATTCTTAGAAATCAGTGCAAGGAGCAAAATTTTGAATAACTAGTATTTAATCTTCCAAACCTGAAAATACATAAATATATAAAAGATCCCTTTCCTTCTTGCCTTAATTTTGACTCAATCTATTCAGACTCTTCTTCATTTTCAACACATTTGAAATAATCATCTTTGTTTTCTTGTTGCCCAAAAGTATGCCTTTATTCATGAATATCTGCTGGCAGAAAGAAGCCAGAAAATGTACTGGCTTTGTTTTAATTAGTGAAGTATCAATAATCATCTACGATTATAACTATCCCTTTCTCTGAATTCAGTTTGTAGATTCTACTGCATGCTGATGAATATATAATAGCTTTTCCTATCGCATGTATGCCAAGTAGCTCTGCATAGATTCCACTTTAAGCATACATTATTTTTACAGAGATAAGCTCACACTTTATCTCTGTGTTAAAAAATTAACTGAAATGTGAAGCATTTGAGGTTGTGTTGTGTTACTCTATGAACAGTCTCCTATTTATTAAATATTAACATCTAAAATCAGGGAAACTGAATGGATCTTGTTTCAATGTAAATTAAAAGAAAAATGGATAATACTATGAAATTTATCATCTTATAACTTGTAAATAAATGCCAGAAGGTTTCATTTCTAAAAGGCCCTAATATATATGTAAATTTTATAAATCTTAATCAATTACGTGAAGTAACTGAATTAGTGTGTATATATATATATATATATATGAAAAAATCTGAGTGGTAAATGCAATTCTCACATTGTGCATTTTCTATAGAGTTATAAATGAGTAAAAGTAGGTATACATTTTTGTAAAAGTAACAATCTATGTTAGAGTACAAATTTGTAATTAATACTTTATATTATAAAGCTTTCATAGCTTGATATTTAAGTGACTGGAGACAGCATCTGATTGACAAAGAACTGATGTTATGAATTCAGAAAAACCAGAAGAATAATTCACTTACCGAAGAAAATGAAGACTATCATGGTGGCCAACTTGGGGCTGTTGACCTGCAAGAAGAGCAGATGTGTGTTTTCCAACAACCTCCTTAACAGTAACTGTCCAGAATAAAGCTTTGGTTTCTGCTCGTGCTTTCTGAAAGCATCCCCGATTCAAGGCGGCTTCCTGTCACCACTTCCTCACCAATCTTTCCTGAGCTGTGAACTTTCCTAATTAGGTCCAAATTCAATTATTTTCTTCTGAGTGTACTGATCTCAGATATTATGCTTCTAAGAAAGCCCAAGAGCCAAATACTAAGAAATTATACATCCTCTGGACATTCAGGGAAAAAGGTGCTTTTATTTTCTCCTTCAACTAGAATACTAAACTGTTTTGTATACAAACTCTCAAGTATAACTCCAGATTTCCTAGACACTTGAACATGCTCAGTTTCTACTTCATTAATTTGCATCATTCAGGCAATGTTATGTCTTTGAGGACAGGGAAAAGGATAAAAGGCATAAAGAAAACCCAGGAAAACATATGGGGAATTCAAGTTCCACTAGGATCAAACCAGCTTACCTCATCTTTATTAACAGGTGCTCCAAACTCCAGTGCATTTAAAACTTGGGTTGTTTCAGTTACAGTTCCTCTCACACTTCCAATAGAACAATGTTTACAAAATGACTCCTCACCATCATGCAGAAATTTCTCATCCCCTGGAAAGGTATCATCCACTTGTGTTTGCCACTTGACACTGTTTTTGTCTGAGTTTTAATGAGAGGCATTGCCATGGTCTGAATATTCGTGACCCCCCAAGCTCATAGGCTGAACTCTTAAACCCAAAAGGAGATGGTATTAGTAGATACAGCATTTGGAGGTTACACAACTCATGGGACACAATTCTCATGCATGTGATTAGTGTCTTAGAAAGGGAAGTCCAGAGAGCCTTGCTCCTGCCATCTTGTGAGGACACAGTGACAACTTGTCAGCTATGGACTAGGAAGATGGTCCTCATCAGACCATGACTGTGTTGGCACCTTGATCTTTGACTTCCAGCCTCCGAAACTGTGAGAAACAAATTTCTGTTGCTTGTCGGCTTCCCTGTCTGCAGTATTTTGTTACAGCAACCTGAATGGACTAGACAGGCATCACTGATCTGACATTACTTTAATTGCACTGTTCCTCACAATCATTTACCTGGGGACAGCCTGAGGCTTCCACTTTTAAAACAGCCTGAGACCTGTTTGTAGTGGACACTTAGGAAATAAAACATGCTGCTAAACAGGAAACTAGGAAAAAATGGGTATGAATAACTGACTACAGTGAGGGGGGGGGAGGAGTATTTGTGTGTTTGCAGTTGCACAGTGGGAGAGTTGTTGGTTGCAATTGCTCGCATTTAATTTACACACAAGATATGTTATAGCATATATTTTAAAGTTGAAGTATAGTTGATTTACAGTGTTGGGTCAATCTCTGCTGTACAGTAAAGTAACTCAGTTATACACACATGTACAACGGAATAGCATATTTTGTTCTCAGAATGCCTGATGGAAGAATACAGACTCTGGAGTCCAGCAAACTAAAATTGCTTTATCCTTAGATGTAGGTAAATAACTTTACATCAGACGTCATTATATTCACTCCTCTGTAAAATGTGCTGATGGTAGCCATGGTTGCTATAAATATTAAGAAGGCATATGGGGTTTATATCACAAAAAATTAACAAATGCCAGTTATATTGCACAAGACAATTATTATTTAACAAGTAATTATAGCATCATAAAATCAATCAATTATTTTCTTTTAAAAGGCACTGCCTCTAATCTTGAATTACAAATTTTATCAAGATAATTACTCTTTATGATTCAAGCCAATTAAAACTGGCTTAAGCTCAAGAGGGATTCAGTGACTCTGTTGGTTTGCAAACTGGCCTCTTACACAAAAGACAAGAAGAATGTGAAGAGAGGGGCAGATAACTCCAGGTTGGTGGATGTCAGATTTAATACGCAGGGGAACCTACATAGAAGGAAGTGGTCTTGGGTGGGACAAAGACAATTACATGCCCTCACATACCTGCCAGAATCTTACAAGTGTATAGAGAGGCCTTAGCTGGGTTCAGTCATGTGCTCCATCCAGAGAGTCTCAGCCTCGGAGAGTTCTCTCAAGACTGCGCCCATCAGAATGGCCCTGCTATGGGGACCGGGAACAGAATGTACATTTGGGGTGAGGGTAGGGGATCTTCCCATTGCCCAGGTCCAGGTCACAGGTCAAACTACAGTCATACGCCCTGGATGACTTCCTCAAAGAGGTTTCAGGGGTTGGAGAATCAGGGTGCAGAGCTGACCTCCTGTAGGTCTTAAACCTCCAAGGTCTGAAGGCTTTGCCCTCCTGTCTGTCAGCTCCATCCACAGGCAGCTTCTTTCCTCTCGGTGGGAGAGGCTGTCAAGTCCTCAGCCCACGTCCTTCTTTCTTAGAAGCACAGTGGGAAGTGGGCCTCTTCCCACTGTTGATGTTCAGTTGCTCAGTCATGTCCGACTCTGCGACCCCATGGACTGCAGCACGCCAGACTTCCCTGTCCTTTACCAACTCCTGGAGCTTGCTCACACTCATGTACATCAAGTCGGTGATGCCGTCCAACCATCTCATCCTCTGTTGCCCCTTCTCCTCCTGCCCTCAATCTTTCCCAGCATCAGGGTCTTATACAATGAGTCAGCTCTTCGCATCAGGAGGCCAAAGTATTGGAGTTTCAGCTTCAGCATCAGTCCTTCCAATGAATATTCAGGACTGATTTCCTCTAGGAATGACTGGTTGGATCTCCTTGCAGCCCAAGGGATTCTCAAGAGTCTTCTCCAACACCACAGTTCAAAAGCATCAATTCTTTGGCGCTCAGCTTTCTTTATAGTCCAACTCTCACACCCACACCTGACTAGTGGAAAAACCACAGCTTTGACGAGATGGACCTTTGTTGACTAAGTAATAGCTCTGTTTGTTTTTTTTTTTCTCCTGAATTGAATACCATCTCCTCTAGATGCTCCCACACCCACCAGTCCTGCCAAGAGGCACTGGTCCTGCTGGGTGCCCAGTATCACAGAGGCAGTGGAATCGGCCCTCTTTAACCCACAGAACTGATAGTGGGACAGGGAGGCATCACCAGGGGAAACTATGGTGTTAGAAGCAGCATGTGAAGGGGTCTTGGGAAGGAGAAAAACAGAGTAAAACATATAAATGTTAAATTTATGTGGGACTGCAACAAGAAAAATAAACTGATGGAACAAAAGAAAAGAACACCAAAACACAATTTCCTGTTCAAGGAAGGTTAGTTATGACTTTCTGGAGTGGAGCGTATGCAGAACTGAATGCAGGGCATCAGGAGAATGGTGCTAATCTTTTCCAAACAGGTACAGCTGTTGAGGGCTATTGCCTATAGGTAGAGAAAGCATCTGTGGTTATATTCTCGCTTATTTCAAAATAATAATTGTCAGCTGCGTCACCATCTAAAGCAGGGTCTTTTTAGCATTTTATTGTGCCATCAAGTTCCTTTCTCCCTACACCTCCTCCTAGGAGTACTTTTAAAGGCATATATATATGTACTTTTTAAAAAAAGCAATACTTCAACAGAGAACTTACTATGTAGCACATGGAATTCTACTCAATACTCTGTAATAGCCTATATGGAAAAAGAATCTGAGAAAGAATGATATATATGTATGTATACCTGGGTCACTTTGCTGTATGCTTGAAACTAACACAACATTCTAAATCAACTCTACTCCAAGATAACTTTTTTAAATCCATGAAGACTGGAAAAAAGGTATTATAAAGGAAGTTAATCATATTGAAACATATTTGTCAAAATAATTTAAACACATTTATGACAGAGTAATATATGCACTTCTTTATTAGGAGAGCAAATATCAAAATCCAGGCAGGTCTAATAAGACTGTAATTTCAATATAGCGATGACCCTAGATGCTAATTTGAAATTTTTCCTTTAATGTAGAACTGTGTAAAAATATCTGCGATTTTCTTTGTGACAATACAGCACAAGAAGTGCTGAATTTTAAATTAGAGTATAATAAAAATTAGAACACAGTTTTGCTCCCATGCAAATGTATAAATGAATAAACAGATGCCTTCAACTCAATTATTTATGGAAGTGGAAAGTGGCAGTTGAATCAGAACAGTTTTAAGATGAGAGAAAATGGTAAAAAGATCAGCTTCAGTAGTTTCCAATGATAATGGGTGCGTGATTTTAACATGTATTGTGTTTTGAATAAAATGCTGTCAATCAATAAACGAATCAGAAGGAAGCAGAGTTGTTCTGGTTGAAATCTGGGGCGGGGCGGAAGTCTCAAGCGCTGGTCAGGAGGCTTGGCTTCACCATCCACAGCTGCCAGAGAGGCACCCCAAAACCTCAGAATTCCTGCTCAGAAATCACTGATCTCGGGCTTCCCTGGTGCCTCAGTCGGGAAGAATCCGCCTGCCAGTGCAGGAGACGGTTTCCATCCCTGCACTGGGAAGACCCCACATGACACGCAGCAGCTAAGCCCGTGCGCCACAAGGATTCAGCCTGTGCCCTGGAGCCCGTAGCGGCAGCGGAGCCCGCGTGCCGCCGCTGCGGGAGCCACGCACCCGGAGCCCGCACTCCGCAACGGAGAAGCCACCGCGATGATGTCTGAGCCCCGCCGCGGGAGAGTAGCCCGCCTCTCCAAAACTAGGGGAAAGCCCCGGCAGCAACGAAGACCCCGCACGGACAAAAGTAAAATAATAAATAAATAAAATTCTGCTAAAAAATCATTGATCTCATTTAACTATTTGCAATTTTTTGTCACATAAAGAATCCATTCTCATAACTGCTAAATAAAATGCACTAGACCTTAAACCTTATCACTGGGGAAAAAAAAAAAAAATACTATGATTTCTATCCAAGCAAAACTTACTAAAGCCTACATAGAGCTTTATGAAAAAAACAAAACTGAGGCAAGGCTCCTAGTCTCATGGATCAGATAAACCATAAAAAGAAAGAAAGAAAAACTTGTTAAAAAATAAAAATATTGTAAATGAGTTGGAAAAATCTGTATGTTGGAAGACATTTGTTTTTGGAGCATAGACAACTACTTTGTGTTTAATGGCATTTGAACCACCCTTCTCCCCCCCAAATATCCCACTGCATTGCCCTTATATTTGCATTTGTCTACTTAAAATTGTGTAAGATACCTGTATCTGGAGGAAAAAAATTCTAGTCAGTTTCATATTTGGAGTTAACCTAAATTTGAGAGCTCTAGGAAGAGGCTATATGCAGAATATAGAATATAGAATATATAACATGTAACGCACATAGATAAATAGAGTGATGAGTTCCTTGGCTACAAGGTCTGTAAACAGTGTCCTAAGACATTTAGTAATTAATGAGGACATTCAGTATTCAGCGTAAAATAAGAGACTTTCAATGTCTTTTACTGGAGAGTCTCACCAGGAAAGAAAAAAATAGGTCAACATGATGATGTACTTAAGTCACCTCACCCACCGTGAACTGGTCTCCTCGCTAATGAGCTGGTAGGAAGTGGCCACAGGCGGGGTGGGAACAGGATGGGGAGAAGCAGAGACACAGCTTGAAAACGTGCCTGGGAGGACCGCTCCAGGGCGTGGGGGGGC